TTGGGTCTCTCCCTTCACCATGTATCCACTGGGAATTGAACTCAAGTTATCAGGCTTAGTGGCTTTGGGCCATCTCACTGGCTCCAATTTTGATTTTTTAAATTTCACCTACATATAAAACTTTTATTTCACCTATATTAAAACTTTTAAAGTAAAAACAAAATGTGTGTATGTACAGGCACACTTAGCAGTCAAAGAGCAACCTTGGGTGTCCGTCCCATTGTCTACCTTGTTTGAGACAGGGGCTCTTTTTTGTTGTTGTTGTTTAGCACTGTGTGTGCCAGAGTAGCTATTCCTCAAGTGACCAAGGATGCTCCTGCTCCACCTCCCATCTCTCCACAGGAATGCTGGGGTTAGAGATACACGCTGCTGTGCCCATCTCTATGTGGGTCCTGGGGATTCAAGCTTAATTCTTCATACAGGATGGAAAGCAGAGCCATCTGCCCAGCCCTGCAGATGCATTTAAATGCTAAATGATTTAAGTCAAAGTCTGTCAATAAAATAATTCTTATCTTTATGTTTTGAAGCTGTATTAGGTAGGATAATGATGTTTGGTGCCGTGACCTTAGTCTACCACCCAATAGCACCAATGCATATTTAGAGATCTCTTTGTTTTTGTTTGTTTCTGTTAAAGGTGTCATATTCCAATGATTTCTCTAGATCCTAGGGCAATTTGGTTCACACTCAGTTGTTGGAATGTGTGTGGTGGGCACTGATGAGGAGCCAGCATGCAGAGGGCTTCACTTTGTGCCTTATCAACTCTTTCCTGTTGCAATGTAAATGTTTTCTCAAGGGCTCCGTTTTTATGTGTGTGTTCAGAACCGTTTTGTAAGTGATCCAATACTTGAAGACTTCTGGGGGTATGTGGCTTCTGTAACTTTGTACCTTAGCTTATTTTGCAGGCTTAGCACTGCAGTCACAGCAGGTGTCCCCAGCCTTTTGGTCACTGAAGGGGGATAAGGTGGGGGGTGTGGGTGTGTGGATGTGTGTGTTCTCTGGCCTTGTGGGAAACATACATTTCTAGAGTTGATGACTCAGTGCCACACCAAATCCAGTAGATTCGGTGTGACATGTCCCACAGACTGAGGCGATAACTTCAAAAGAAGGAGGTCTCCTGGAAAAGGTTGTGGAACTCTCAGCCACAGAAAAATATTGGGCTGTGATTCTCGTGGCAATTTCTGTTTGTCCTTCTATTCCTTTTTTTTTTTTTTCACATTAATGAAATGTTCCTAAAAGCGTATGCTGACATTTTAAACAAAAGAAATAGATAAGAAACCATCCCTTGAGATGGGGTCACTAGCTCTTTCCAAATCATTCCATCATTCACATAAGTACAAATAGTAAAGACTTCCCAACAATAAAATTTCATATGGCTATACATGTGTCATTGAAAGTGGGCTTAAGTGTCTGGTTACAAAAGCTTTTAACAAGAAAGAGTTAAAATAGTTAAAATAGCTCAATACTTCAAAAACTCGCAAGAACTAGGTAATAGATGTTAAACAATAACTGACCATAAAAATATATTAATTTAATTTAAGAAATATGTGGTTAGCCTTGGATGATCCCATGTTAGTCAAGGACGGTCCTACGTTTTGACTAATCAAGGACAATTTTATGTTTTGATTAACCCTGGATGATTCTATCTTTTGGATTTCTGCGTCACTATGCCAAGTAACAATAATGTCATCTGTTTGGGTTTGTTTAACAAAAACATCTCTATAGAAATATCTCTATAGAAAATATCTCTATAGAAAACCTTGTTTGAGAACTGCAAAACACACTCAGATCCAAACTGCCTCTGTGTTTGTTTCTGTTTGTCACTGCTGAATCCTTACCCAAGGACCTTCATCCCAGGGACCCCCATACCCGGCTGGGGTGGTCCGTGGCAACTCAGGTTATATGGATGTTCTTTTTTAGGTGGGAGGGAAGGTTGAGACAGGGTTGTTGAGGCCAGGGTGGGTTCTCCTGCCTCAGTCTTCCTAATGCTGGAATTACAGGCATGTGTCATTATGCACGCTTCCCATCTGTAATGCCATCCAAGTTACTGGTCTCAGGCTTTTACTTCTGTCTTCAGATTATTAATAGGAGCAGTAAACTTTTTTTCTTTTTATTAAGAACACTGAGCCCAGAGCGAGCGCCAGGATAGGCTCCAAAGCTACACAGAGAAACCCTGTCTTGAAAACAAAAACCAAAAACTAAAAAACAAAACCAAACCAAAACAACAAAAAAAGAACACTGAACTACTCTTAGATAAATCCCAATTAAAATTTCTACAAAGGTGAACATGGCAGCCCTCTTTCCCTAGGTCTCAGTGACAGTCTTGTCCAAGGGTTGGTAAACTACTCTGGCCTCAGAAGCTCTGCCTCTTTGTCATCTTAGGCCATTGTTCCAAACTACATAGCTCAACTTCAAGGAGGACTAAAAATGGCATTTTTACTAAAGTAAGAATTTGGGGGTTCATGTTTCTTTGTGAGCACTTCCCCACTATCTGGGAGTCTGCATTCCCACCTTAGTGAAATGAAGGTGGCCAGTTCCTGGTTATGGCACGGCCACTGCCTGTCTTGCTTGGAAACAGATATTCTCAGTCCAGTGTCCATCCCATAAACCTTCAGCTCTGAATAAAGTAGACAAAAAAAAATGACATCATGTTGAGTGTGCAAGCCTACTTTAATTTCTATCTGATTTTGGCACCCAGGTGGAAAGTGTTGGGAGGGGCAGCCGGGGCCTGAGTGCTCTCACAAGGCAAGTCCTGGGATCACAGAAGACAATCTTTCAAGGCCCCTTTTGTCAGGCCGGTCTTCCTGATGACTCAGGGAGAACTAAAGTTCAGTGTGGTGGGCTCACATCTGCAAAGACTGGAAAGCAAAAGCCCTTTGGTGGTCTCTCCACTCTGCTGAACTTTGTGAAGAGTTACTGGGGTCAGCTGAGTTTGCAGGTTTTCCCACAGTGAATTTCGGAAAGAGTTGTAATGTCACTTTCTTTCCTTTTCTCTTTTAGCAATAGGCGAATATGAAGACCTTCGGGCAGAGAACCAGAAAACAAAGGAGAAGGTTCGTACTGTACCCCTCCCTTTTCTTACAAGCCTGAACGCCTAGGCAGCATAATGCATTGTTCAGTCACCAATTTCAGTTAAATGTGAATGAGAGAGGTTTTATTGTTTTGTTTTTCTTTTCTTTTCTTTTCTTTTCTTTTCTTTTCTTTTCTTTTCTTTTCTCTTGCATGTGTGGTTCAAGCTAATATCAACTCCAGGCTCCTGATGGTAAGAATAGCAGGCATGCCACAGTAGGCACAGCCCTGAGAGATTAAAAATGCAGTTAAATGTGTAGCAAGGCACCAGGCCAGGCCACACAAGTCCTCAAGAACTGTGCTTTTCTCCTAGTGGTCACACTTGGGACACTGGTGATGGACACTGGAGACATTTGCTTCTAGGTCCCAGACTTGTTGGGTCCTGGAGGGACGTAGGCTTTGGTATTTAGTCAGCTATCTCTACACACCTTTTGTGTGTTTGCTTCTGCTGTCTGTGTGAATAATAAAGGAGAAGTTGAAAAACCCCAGTGTGAGTACAGGGGAAGTGTGATGAATATTTTCACAGGATATGGAAGTTTTCTTTTGAACTATGAAATAAATGAATTCTGTTTGCTCTTGTAATCTGTGTCCTTTTTGTCTCTAAAAATGTTTACTTACGGTCTGTGAGTGTTTGATGTATAAGAGAGCTTCAGGTCTGTAATCCTACCACTTGAGAGGCTATGGCAGGAGGATTGCCAGGAGTTTGAAGCTAGCCTGGGCTACAAATTGAGTTCCTGTATCAGAAAGCACATGCTTGTATGTACACGTGTATTTTTTTTCTTCCTGCCAACCAAGGGGAAAAATAAGAAAAATGGAGGGGCTAAATAGAAAACAAAAAATAGAAGAAAACATGGGCTATGCATTTGTTTTAAAACAAAAATGAAAGTTACATATAAATTTAAAAGGTAAATATGGTCTTTTAATTATAATCACTAAATAAAGTACTTTTATCAAATCAGATAGTCAAAGTATTTTTGAAAATGTATCCCAGGCAGAAAATAAATAAAGTAGTCTGAAGTGTTTTGAAGTAAGAATGAAATGATGACACCTTATCTTCCTAATTTTTGAACAAGGGCTATAACAACACTCAGTAGGCAGCTAACTAGTTATAAAAATCTGTAGCATGTTGGACTTAATTTATTGAGCTCTTAATCATATTAGAGGCTGAGCAGTGGTGGCGCAGGCCTTTAATCCCAGAAATCAGGAGGCAGAGGCAGGCAGATCTCTGAGCTCAAGGCCAGCCTGGTCTCCAGAGCAAGTTCCAGGACAGCCTCCAAAGCCTAAGAGAAGCCTTGTCTTGGGGAAAGAAAAAAAAGAAAAGAAAAAAAGAATCATTAGACTTTCTTAGTCATTAAATCTACTGGCTGCCTGGGCATAGTTTGACTAGTGGTAGTAATGGCAAGTGCTTTAGCTCAGAATCAATTATATCTGCCTTTAAAAATCATTATTTTAAATTTAGTTTTTAAGGCTCTCCTGCTTTTTACAGTATTTATTTTATTGTGATCATATATCGTTATCTATGTGGGTATGTGCATGTGAGTGCAGGTGCCCAAGAGGCCATCCAGGACTTCTAGTGTTTGTAAGACACCAGTGTGAGTCCTGGGAACTGAACTGGGGTCCTCTGGAAGAGCAGCAAGGGTTTCAAGCACTGCACTATCTCTCTGGTCCCAATTTGTGCCTTTGTAAATTCATCTTAGGTGGTCTCTGAAATCCTGGTTCCTTTCCTCTCTTAGGCCACTGAGGGAATGGTAGACGAGGGTTATTTTAAAAAGCCCATGCTAAAAAGGAACTGGTATACACATCTTCTAAGGCAAGAAGGCCGTGGATAATAGTTCGAAAAGAAGATTTTTAGTTCTGTCGCCATAACCCCCCAAACACAAAAGTCCCAGGGATGTAAAGTAGTCAAGAGGAGGGGTGTTTAGACCCTGGTCAATGGCATCTCACGGTTTTAAAGTGAGTTTCCTCGGGATGTTCGTGGTGGGCAGTTTGCTGCCCTTTGATCAGACTTCAGCTCCAGGGGGAGGTCAATGGAGTCTACATTGTGTATGCTTTTGGGACAGCACAGAGGGGATGAAGATGAAGCAGTTGCAGGGGTTCATGCAGGAGTATGGTTTAACCTCATCTAAAAACGTGAGGTGAGCAAGCAGGATGGCTCAGCAGGTTAAAACACTGAGTTTGATCACCCAGAATCCATGGTAGAAGGTAAGGACCCGTTCCCCAAAGTTGTCTTCTGATCCCCACCATGGCACATGCTTGCATTTGCACATATATGTGTTGTACACACATGCATCACACACACATAATAAGTAAAAAGCATGATTAAGTAAGCGAGGATGGGGGGAGATAGAATGCTTGCACGTCTCCATGTGGCAGAGAAAGGAAGAGAATGGAAACCGTGCAACAGAAGAGGGAGGAGACGGCAGGTTCTGTTTTCTTTTCTGTTTCTTAATCCATGATTATCTATAGACCTGGAAATACCCTTAAAAAAAAAAGTGGTTCTGTAAACACCTGCTCTCCCTGTTGGCGTGGCCATAGTTGTTTAACTCAGAGCCACTTTCTTGTGTGGGGTTTGCAGCGATCTGTCTGTTGTGCACATGGGATTATAGGTTGGTTAAAAGGAGGACTGGAAATGACCTCGGCCAGTAAACTGTTTACTTCTTCTCCGAGCCCAGAAGATGGCCTGACACATTAGCAGCATCTGTAGGCGTTATTGACCTGTTTCTGTCCTAATTCTTTAAAAATAACTATTAACAGAAATGAGAAGAAAAGAAATGAAAGCAATATGGAATGCTGGGTGTGTGTGTAAAAACAAAGGAGAGTGAGTGGTTTTAGGTCTACCCCACTCTGTTTACCTTCTATTAAAAGACCGGCTTGCTTATTACTGCAGTTTCTTTTCCCCCCCAAGGTGGGGGTTGTCACAAAGGAGAGAAGCATATAATAAAAGCCTTTTATACGACATAGAATGAGTAAAAGCAGCTTTTGTTCTGGAGCAGGCAAATGGAGGACACTGTTTTTTTCTGGGAAAGCACTTTCTTGTGTCTGACTGCCTGGGCTTTATCCTGTCTACATCAACAAATACAGGCGGCCATCTTTCCTCTGTGGGGCCCGGGCCTCGAGTTAAATTGAACCCATTGTGGACAGTCATTGGAAGAGTTCCTTTTTGTCATAGCTGGTTCAATGTAGGGAAATTTGGCAAAATAGAGGAAGGGGGAAAAGAACCCGGTGAGGTATTACTCCCGACTCTGTCTCTACAAGTTTATGTGTCTTGGTCACCAGGCCAGAGACAGTGCCGGGGAGACACAACAGATCTGGCTCCTCCAGATAGGACCCTCTCATGCCTGCTGCAGTGTCCCTGTGGATGTAGGTTCTGCAGATAGCTCGTCTCTGTATTTAGAGACTATTATGGGATATCTGTGCCCTCTTATCTCCATGACAAAGTGGTTCAGACTGTTTTAGCTTCATTTTATACAAGCAAACATAAGGACTTGAGATATAGTGAGTTTCCTGAGAACCTACCAGTAATTAGTGACAGAGTCTGGATCTAAACCTGGGTCTTATGCCCTCCATGCTTTTTTTTTTTTTATTATTATAAACAAGTAAATTTGAGTATATTGATTCTTTCTACAAAGTTCTTAGTTTTATTTTAATAAGTGTGTGTGTGTGTGTGTGTGTGTGTGTGTGTGTGTGTGTGTGTGTGTGTGTGTGTC